GGGGGGGGGGGGGGGGGGGGGGGGGGGGGTCGCCAAAATAAATTTTCCGGAAAAAATTTTTTGGTAGTAGTCGGGCAGAATCCCGAAAAGTTGGGCAATTTTCTTTCCGCCCCCCTAATTTTTTCCTTCCGGTACGCCCATGGTAACAAGTCTGTTAAGTTCAACGACCTCGTAGCAAGTTGTCAACAAGATGTGGTCGACAGGCTTGTAGCAACTTGATAAAATAACAGCATTGTTACAACTTGTTGACATGCTTGCTACAAGCCTGTTGCGAACACATCTTGTTAACAAGTTGTGAGATTTTTACATGTGTAATAGACGCTTGTTCATTATCTCGTAGGTGAAAGGCATAGGTGGTCCAAAACTAGTGCCGTGTGACGAGGACACGGATTTCTTAAATGAATTTCAAAAATTGATCGTTGACGACTACCAAAGTCGGCGCACAGAAAACGTCAAGGTGCCGTCATTTGACGTGGCCGTGCCGATGCAGCTGGGCAAGAAGAAGCCTGGGAACGAGGAAGGAAATCGCGTCAATTTTATGGTGATGTTGAAGAAGGGAAACCGACAACAACTGCGTGATCTCAAGGTTCCGATCAGTTCCGATCTTGCGGCGAACATTCGCGAGAAGCAACAAGAGGAACAGGCCGAGCAGGAAGAAGTCAAGAGACTGGTGCTAGATTATAATCAGAGGCAGGAAGAAGAGACGTATAATGGTAGGAATTTTAAAGTGGCTCTGACACGAAATATGATTGTGGGAGGAATCGAACCTCGCGCTATCCACCGGATAGTGATTTTTTCAAGCTTTGTTAAATCAGTCGTTGATTGGTATAACTCGTATTAAAGTTTAGTATTTATAAGTTAAATGTTTTTTTTAGACTTCTTGTGTCGTCTATATCCGCAGTTTCACAGTTTTTCGAGCATTTTACAAAGGTTGAAAAAATCACTATCCGGTGGATAGCGCCTATCCGACCTTCGTACAACCGGCCCCAGAAAGCTAGAAAGAGCGTCTTAGAATTATTAAAATTGCAAAGATTGGTTGCTAAATGTTGTAAAATGAACAAAATATAGCCCTGTGAAGTTTTGTATAAATTTGTATATATTTGTATTACGTGCGGTAAAAATAACCACTTTCGGCTCAGAACCTATTTGAGAACCTGTTTAGCCTAATTTCCTGGTAAGCATGGAAAATCTAGGTTCTTATATGCGGGCTTTTACTGTAGCTTGACCTATTGCTATGGCTAGCTTTCGCCACTGGTCAGAGCATTGCATCGTGGCCACTGTATGGTACTGCTACATTAGATTTTGGGTATCTCTATATCTAAACATGTTGTTCATATCTTCCTTCAGAGCTGATGGCGAAACCCCGTCAATCGTCGCCTGGCAACCGCTACCATGGTCGCCGTGAGAACAAACCAAAACCGACGAGGTATCGTGAAGCTGAGCAAGGATTCTTTATGAATAAGTAAGTACATGTAGGGTCTATTTTAAGGCTCCCATGAAATATTAGGGCTCAGAACGACCCCCTCTGCACACGTAAAAACGCACAAGTTGTTACAGGTCTGCAAACAAGTTGTTACAAATCTTTTCACAAGCTGTCGACAAGTTGTGTTCGCACTGCTTGTTCCCAGTTGTTGTAGCAAGCTGTTAACAACTTGTAACAAGCTTGATGGCATTATCAGACTTGTTGCAAGACTGTTCTAACACGTCTGATACAGTCATGATATAACAACAAGAATGTTACAAGTTTGACGATACTAGGTTGTAACAATAATGTTATATCATGACTGTATCGGACTTGTTGGAACGACCTTGCAACAAGTCTGATAATATCAATAAGGTTGTTACAATTGTTAACAAGTTGTTCCATACTTGTTGACAACTTGGGACAAGCAGTGCGAACACAACTTGTTAACGGTTTGTGGGCAGACTTGCTATACACACGTAAAATTCTCACAAGCTGTTAACATCTTGTAACAACTTTGTTGATATTATCAGACTTGTTGCAAGGTTGTTCCAACACGTCCAATACAGTCATAATATAACAATATTGTTACAACCTTGCGTCATCAACCTTGTAACATTCTTGCTATATTATGATTGTAACAGACTTGTTAGAACAGTCTTGTAACAAGTCTGATCATGTCATCAAACTTGTTACAAGTTGTTAACAGCTTGTTACAAACTTGTTCCAACAACTGGGAACAAGCAGTGCGAACACAACTTGTCGACAGCTTGTGAACAGATTTGTAACAACTTGTTTACAGACCTGTAACAACTTGTGCGTTTTTACGTGTGTACAAGATACGAGATGTTTGCGTGTGCAGTATGAATCGTGGTAATATTTTCAAATCATACATCGTTGTCTTGTATAGGAGACGCTAAAGATTGTTGCCAAAGCGACGTAGAAAGCCTATCGTATGGTTTTCAGTCGGCCCTAGTGTCCCACGTGAATGGCCTCATCCTCCAAGTCGACCCGCGAGCCTTCCCAAGAGCTTCGTCTCTCGTTATAACCTGGCATTTGCCTTTACCCGCACAGCCTGTTTCAGGACCCGTGAAATTGTTGTGCATTTTTAATGTTTGATTATTTTTGTGTCCAGTTGTAAAGTTAAGTTTTAAAAATGTAGATACCTCGTGGATACCTAGGCCTAGCCAGGGGGGTTATTTATGGTGTGTGTGTGTGTGGAGGGTGACGGCGAAGAGAGATGTTCTTCGTGGTAAAATTTTTGCTGATTCAACCATTAAAAAGTAAAAAAAATTACCCAACCTCAAATGTCAATTAAAAAATGAATACCCACATCTGGCCAAAAACTTTACAAAAGGATACCATTAAGTTGTCACACATATCTTTTACCACTTCTGTGACATGAGTTTGATAACTACTTTTGCAATTTTCTGCAGTCTAAAGTTTCATGTTGTCTGCACATGTACTTTCTTTGGAGACACCGTATGCCTCCTGACAAATTGGGAAATGATCAAGGTAGTGACTCTGATTGATTGATTGATTTACATATTGTATTGACATATGACTGTTGACATTGCTTTTTAGTCGTCAATATTTGAGTGAGTCATGCTTTTGAAATGACAATAATTTTTATTACCCAACCCTTGAGTTGTTTTGTTTTTCATTTACCCAACCTTTTACTTACTCAAAATTTTGTTTACCCAACACTTTTCTCTTCGCCCCCGCCATAAATAATGATCTGTTCCTAAAGTACCTGTATATGAAAAGAAAAATTGTCTAAAAATACCAATATATGTGAAACCCTGGCCGGGTTTTATAGCCTAGTTTATCGTTAGCCTGAGCCTTGAATAAACGATGTTTCTTGTGGAAGAAATAGGTTAGAATATACAATCAATAAGGTAGCTCTACATTTTAAAATTTTTAAGTGTTTGTCGTTTCGAATATGCGTATTTTTTGTCGTAATAAAAATTGTAAAACGTTGTTCTCTTTTGAGTTTTGTTGTGCTTACGATGCGTCACCAATCTTGCGGTAACAATTTTCTCCGACAGCGAGAAAGTGCGCAAAACGTACATATCGGAAGACTTCGTTTCCGCAACAACAAAAATAACATTTTGGAAACAAAATACCAGTAAGTTAACGTGCACCTGTCTTTGTCAAAAACTTTTATTTTATTTTATTTTAAATGACCCTCAAACATTTCTTACAAATCCTTCAGAAACATGGACGTGTATTTGCAAAAAATCTTTTAATTTTTTGGGAGGGGCACAGTAAGGATCAATAAGAGATGATCCTTACTGGATCTCTAGGAAGAATTGTTTAGGATTGATAGAGTTTTAGAATTGTATTAAATTTGATAATAAATTGCAATAGATTTCAATTTGAAAATAAATTTCGATTTAAAAATAAATTTAAATTCGAAAAGCTTTGAAAATAAATTTCAATATAATAATTTATGCTAATTACGAAATCTCGTAAAAAGTAGTAAAAGGCCAGGTCACTTGGCTATTTGTTTACCTTTGATTCCTTTGAAGAGTCACTTTACCATTTTACGTAAATGAATTTATCAATATTCTAGACTTAAAATCTTCATCTATGTAGCTGGAAAAAATATGTGAAAGTGGCTGTGTTCTGGCTGCAAGGTAAAGAAAACATCAACATGATGGATTTCTATATTCAAGTGTATTTTTGACACGGTATAAAAGTTAAAAATTATGTTGCTTGTTCATTTTGTAATTGTGTATGTTTGATATTCATCATCCCAAATTTCCGCTGGTAATTTGCAAGAATTTGAGAAAATAAATTGTGTGTATGAACTAAGTTGTCTCTTTATGTTTTGAAAACAACTGTTTTTAATATTTTGAAACAGCTGTACATTTTCTGGGGGGGGGTGGGGGGGGGGCATTGTTTTGGCACAACTTGCTGGATCGATAACTGGATACTGATGGTACTTGGAAAATATGTCAATAACATTTTGTCATAAAATATTCCATTATAAAATATTCCAAGCATAAACGTCTAGGTTTGCAGACTACATATTAATGTAGTACGTCATTTTCCGCACTCATTCTTTGCTCGGAAAGTAACTTTCTTATCAAAGAATGAGCGTGGGAAATGATTTCTGGGTTTACACAATATCATTAATGTTAACGTTGCGAAGGTCGTTTAATACCTGATGCACGCGATGAGTTCGGCATGCTTTCTCTTGGACGCTCGCTTTAACGTTGTCGAAATCAAACATGCTAGATGTTCGTTTCTTTTTCTTATTCGACATAATTTATTAGTCAGAAACGCATAAAAAATTGTCTGCTTTACATTGTATACGATAGCTCAGGTGCGTTTCCGGGAGGTGCGTTTCCGGGAGCTTTGTCGCGCACACTTTGGCAATGGTTACGATAGCACAACTGTAACATTCCATATTTTAAAAAACCGTCCGCTTATTGTAGGCATCATATGTATTTTAGGCATCATATGAAATATCTGACAAATTTTAACCAGATACTGCCGTTGTCATGTCTATGTTTTGCTGGATATCAGTATCCGGATCTGGCACATCCCCAGGGTTAGTACTGACATCTCAGAAACAAACAAGGTGACCAGTACATGTCACAGGTGTTGTGGTCACCATGCTTGCCTTTCAAGTTGGGAGACCCGAGTTCAATCCTTGGTTGGACCTCTACTCAAGGTCTTAAAATAACTGAGGAGAAAGAGCTACCTTTACATTGACATCAGGAAATGGTTAGATTTCCACATCTGCTCGGATAAGGATGTTAAATTGTAGGTACCACAGTGATCCCCTATCAATTGGGCAATAGCCTGCAATAAAGAAAAAAGTTTCATTCATTTAATCTAGTTATGAAGCATTAACAATGGGTTCAAGTGAAGTCCACGACTTTCCATCTGAAGGTCACTCTACTGAAATCCTGAGTTCTATCAACACTTTGAGGAAGCGAAACCTACTATGCGATGCCATCCTTTTTGTTGAAGATCGCGACTTTCCCATCCATCGTGTCATCCTGGCGGCATGTAGCGACTACTTTGAAGCGATGTTTACGAGCGGTATGAGTGAGAGTTGTAAAGAGCAGAAGAAAATTGAGATTCAGGGTTTGTCAGCAGATACAATGGAAATCCTCTTGGATTTTATTTATACGGAGAAAGTTAAAGTTAGTGTTGAAAATGTGCAGGCATTACTGCCGGCAGCGTGTTTACTACAGTTAAATGGTAATTAATTAGGGATTAGTTTTTTTATTTATAGAAGGATTTAACCCATTGAGTGGCAGCACTCTCCCGTTGACTAGCAATATCGTCTGGCATTAGACAGATCGAGTAAAATAATAAATTAGGGTACATCAGGGTGCATGTAACTTAATGAGAATTAAGTGTACATTTACAGTATTATCAATGTTGTGGTGGTATTATACTCCCATGCACAAGACTCTCTGCCTAACAAATTAAATTGTCTGGCATTAGACAGAGTAAAATAATAAAGTTGGCCGAGCATTTGGGCTCAATTAGGAGTTTAATGCGTTAATACAAGATTTTATGTTTGTATTACAATATAACCATTTGCACATGACACATTTTTCTTGACAAAACTACAATTGTCTGCTATTTAAGCCCATTTTCCACAAGGCGAATTTGTTTGTGTGAATCAACTTTTTCAAGGGAAAAATTTGCTTCACACGAAAAAATTTGTCTGGTGGAAAACATGCATGCTTAGTAGACCCTTAGAAAAGCATTAACTAAAGAAAGTCCAATATTTGGCAAAGTCTCTGCCTTCCTTTAGAATGAGAATTAAGAGTCACTACATCAAGTGAACTGCAGCCCATTGTATCTTATTTTGTTTAATTAACTCCTAGGAGCAAAGAAGGCGTGTTCTGAGTTTTTGAGAAATCAACTAGATCCCGCCAATTGTCTTGGCGTGAAGAGCTTTGCAGAGACACATCACTGCGGGTCACTGCAACAAGCTGCAGAGAAATTTATACACAAACATTTTGTTGATGTAATACAGTGTGAGGAATTCCTACAACTTGAGTGTAACGAAGTTAAAGAATTGATTCAGAATGACAATATTACGGTATGGCATTTGTGTAGTGATTGTGGTGTATTATATGGTGAAATTATTTGCGATGATATGTTACTCCACACTGCATGGTCAAGCTGAAAGGTTTCTGGGAAGTTGATTTCCCAAAGAGGCAAGCCAAAGGTCCAAAAAAATCCAATTAGAATCCCAATTGGAATTTGAACCAATTTCCAGTTGGAATGAGCTTTTCTGTCCAAAGTTCAGTGGATTCCAATAACAAAATCTTAATTCCAATTGGAATTTTGGCCAATTTCCAATAGAAATTCATATAATTGGAATTCCAAGGCATCATTTAATAATCTGTTGGATTGCTTCAGAAAAGATCCACACTTCCTTCGAGGAGGAAATTTCTGCCGTCCAGAGGGGCAGGGCAGAAAAATTTGTTTCAGACAATTAGGACATCTGTAAGGGGTGGGGGAGGGGGGTTAACATCCAATTTCCTCTGTAGGAGAGGAACTTCCAATTTCCTCTGTGGGAGAGGTATGGATGATTTATTGCTTTCTGGTGGAATGATCCATTGCTCAGAGCCTCATTCAGTGTTTGTTGCTCTTTTGCATAACATTGAAGTGTTTTTAACTAGTTGTTTTTTCCCAAGGTACCTTCAGAGGAAGTGGTTTTCGAAGCAGTTATGATGTGGATTAAACACAATACAGAAGATCGTAAAGAATATTTACCAAGCTTGCTTGAGAATGTCCGACTGTCTTTGCTTACGCCACTTTATCTCACTGATGTCATTGATAACGAGGTATGTATTAACACAGGGAAAAAATTGAACTCTCCATTAATGAGTTTTTGAATTTAAAAACTAAACTCTTGCTATTAATAGAATTGAACCTGCAGCCCTGAGATTCAGATGCAGCGCTCTTACCAACCGCTCTTACCTAGGTTCTGATCCACCGAAGTTTCGCATGCCGAGATTTGGTAGATGAAGCGAAGAAGTACCACCTCAGACCGGAGTGTCGCATGGAGATGCAGAACGAGCGAACACGCGCTAGGTTAGGCACGGATCAAGTGTTGTATATCTTGGGAGGGTTTGGAGATGCCCAAACACCTGTCGATGTTGTGGAGAGATTTGATTCCAGGACAAACCAGAGCACTTTTGTTCAGGTAAGTAGGGAGGGGTGGGTGGGAGGATGATCTGGTATAACCCTGCAAGTTATGTAACATACATACATCATGCTCACTCCCCATCGGGACCTTTCAGTGAACGATTATATCACGTAAAAACGCACAATTTGTAACAAACCTGCAGCAGACTTGTAGCAATGCTGTTTCAACAACTTGTCAACAGGATGTGTTTGCATTGCTTGTTAATTCCCAGCTTGGTGACAAGTTGCTACAGGATTGTTGAGCTCAACAGATTTGTTACAAGTTGTTCCAACAAAATGTTATTGTGCTGCAATTCAACAATTTGTCAACAAGTTGTGAGTGACAACCTTGTAGCAATTTGATGAAATAACAGCATTGTTAATTACAAATTACAATTTGTTGACAAGCTTGCCACAAGCCTGTTACGAACACATCTTGTTGACAAGTTGTGCTATTTTTACGTGTGTATACAGCCTGTGAAAAACATTCAAAACGCTTTCACCTTCCTGACCAGGATTTAATTCCTGCAAAATGCGAGAAGAGTGTTTCAAGTTTCTTAGATTCTTGCACTTCACTTGGTGGAATTAATATTAGAATGTTAGGGTTTATAATCCAAGTGAGAATATATACATTTTAAGACCTAACCAGGAACGACTGCGAAAAATGCAGCACAAGGTCCTCTGGTAGGAATTGAACCTACGGCCCTGCGATTCCGGTGCAGCGCTCTAACCAACTGAGCTACAGAGGCCAGCTGTTGAGCTGTAGCCGTAAGTTCATGTATATATAGGTAATCGGGTGTGCGGGTTGTGATAAGGTGGACTTCAATGACTTAGGCAATGAAAAAGAAGCGAAGATATTTATGCTGTGTGGCCCTGGGCTCTAAGCTGTATGCTATTGGTGGATATGATGGCGCAGGGAGACTGAACTCTGTTGAATGTTATGACGTCATCACGCAAGAATGGACACCGTCTGCATCGATGATCCACCGTAGGGGTCTGGCTGGCGCCGCTGTTTTGAATGGTATGACAATAATTAGTTATGGAATGCGTCTCAGACAATCTCACAACTTGTCAAGAAGATGTGTTCGCAACAGGCTTGTAGCAAGCATGTCAACAAGTTGTGACAGTGATGTTATTTTATCAAGTTGCTACAAGGTTGTCACTCACAACTTGGTTGAACTGCAGGACCATAACAAGTTGTTGGAACAACTTGTAACAAGTCTGTTGAGCTCAACGACCTTGTAGCAAGTTGTCAACAAGCTGGGAACAAGCAGTGCGAACACATCCTGTTGACAAGTTGTTGGAACAGCATTGCTACAAGTCTGCTGCGGGTTTGTTGCAAACCGTTCAGCTGAACAAATATACCATAATGTAGAACAATATTTTTTTCTAGGTAAAATTTACGTTGCTGGAGGTTCCGACGGCGCACTTCGTCACACAGCCGTTGAATGTTATGATCCCACCATTGACAGATGGACGATAGTAGGCGAGACGAATACCGGTCGTGAAGGAGCCGGACTTGACAAAATGGACGAAACATTATACTGCCTCGGAGGGTATGATGGGAATGCTATCTTGAATACTGTCGAGCGTTTTGACCCAAGGACTGGTGACTGGTCACCAGTCGCTTCAATGAAGGCACCGCGCTCAGGTAAGCATCGATTTTGAATCTGCACTGAGCACTGATATTGACCTCAGATAGAAATAAAACTCCGTCTTCGAACTTTCTCACACTGTACCATACAGAGTGCTACAAATGACAAATCGTCATGCGTAAAAGAAGTTTTGTAGGCCAAAATATTAGCGGAGTAGAATTTCATGGAAAATTAAAAGTTTTCTTGTCAGTCAGATTTTGTAGGTCAAAATTTAAATTTGTAAGTCAAAAGTAGCATGTCGTTTTGCCGTCTTGATGTCATGCGAGACTCTTGTTCATCAATGTTTACTACTCTCTTCAGGAGAGCAACCATTAATTCTCGATCTTGAACATTCTTCAGGTGCAGGTGTTGCTGGTCTTGACAGTCAACTGTACGCAATAGGTGGGTATGATGGTACACAACATCTTAACTCAACTGAGTGTTACAGTGCATGCGCTGATCGCTGGATGACTTTGAAGGGCATGAATTGTAAACGCTGTTATGTCGGTAAGTGTGTTCTTCTTTTAACTGGGTGGCAGTTCGGATTCTTAGTATCCGCTATCTGTTACTCTCCTTCTCAGCAATGTCTACCATCCCACATATTTTGATCTCTTCATGTCCATTGTCCCTGACCAGTTCTCCTTCATCTTTTCTTATTACGTGTCCACACCATCTCAACCTTGGTTCCTTCACCTTCTCAGCAATGTCTACCACTCCACATCTTCTTCTGATCTCTTCATTCCACATTGCCTCTGACCAGCTCTCCTTCCGTCTCGTCTTATTACATGTCCACACCATATCAACCTTGCTTCCCTCACTTCTCAGCAATGTCTACCACCCCACATGTTCTTCTGATCTCTTCATTCCACTGTGTCTCTGACCAGCTCTCCTTCATCTTTTCTTATTACGTGTCCATACCATCTCAACCTTGGTTCCTTCACCTTCTCAGCAATGTCTACCACCCCACATGTTTTTCTGATCTTTTCATTCCACTATGTCTCTGACCAGCTCTCCTTCATCTCTTCTTATTACTTGTCCACACCATCTCAACCTTGCTTCCCTCACTTCTCAGCAATGTCTACCACCCCACATGTTTTTCTGATCTCTTCATTCCACTATGTCTCTGGCCAGCTCTCCTTCATCTCTTCTTATTACATGTCCATATCATCTCAACCTTGCTGTTGTTTGCCTTGTTTCGCTCAGCTTCTGAAAGTTTCATTCCGTATCGGATAGGTGCTTTTTCGCGCCTCTACAGAAAGCTATCCTGTAAAAGGCCTTTAGGAAAATTTTCTGCAGAAAGAAAATTTTGTAAAATGTGATTGGCCGACATAAGTTTTCCGTTGGAAAAACATTTTGAAGTTGAAAATTTTCAACTTTTAACAATGATATTTTCGGAAAATTTTCTGTCCGTGAAAATTCTTCTCGAGTGGAATATCTGAATGTGAATTTTTATTCCATTAGGTACTGCAGTATTTTGTGGTCAGCTGCATGCCGTAGGAGGATACGATGGCTCGAGGTTACTTGACACGGTCGAAAAATATAATAGTATGCTCGGAGACTGGGAACTACTTGATTCAAAACTTCAGCTTAGTCGCTGTGACATGGGAGTCGCCGTTGTTACAGAAACGTAATAAAAACAACTGATATTCAGTTATATTAAAAAAGCAGAATATACAGGGTGTCCCAGCCATGTTTCAGATTTTTATACAGCTATAGCTGTTAGTACACGGGTAATACAGGATGTGCACAGGCTAGCTGTTAGTGGGTATCGAAAATGTAATTTGAGAGATGTTATACCTGTTTAAAATAAGAGGTCACAAAACCTAAAATACTTTACACAACTGACAAATTATTTCAATGAATGGTCTATATTGGATAAACCAGACTTCGTTTTAAAGTCTTTAAAAAAGCCATTAATCTCTTAGATTAAATTTTCGAGTAAAAATCTGGAACATACTTATTGCATTTTTTTCGATCAGGACACCCTGTATATAGGCGTTCATATGTATAACGGAGAGGTTCTGAGATTTGACGCCCTCTACCGCCACCTGTCACTGACTTAATACGAATTTGATTGGTTAATCGTGTAGATTCAACCCATCTGATTGGTTCATTGTAGCGGTAGTGGAAAGTCAAAATTTCAACCTGTGTATTGTATGTATAGAAACAGCAAAATCTTGTGATGTTTACGGAAATACTCTTGAGAGAATAGACAACAAAAGCGTTGTAGTTAAGCGTGCCAACTTTCCTTGCATTTATCTGTTCCGTACTATTGTGTCGGAAAACACGTACTTTACAAATGCCGTGGGTGGATAGCGTGGGATCTTTATGCTTCTTGCATGAGTCATTACTTAGTTCCGTTCCGTGCAATATCACTCATTAATTCAACAATCTCTTCTATCCGTACACTAAAATATCCTTCATTTTTCAATGGTTCGTATATTGAACTTGCTTTATAAATCTTTGATGGGTGTATCAGTTCTAAACTGTTATTTCAGAGACCCATTAAGGACCGTGTCTTGTTGCTATACCAAACACCACAGTATCCCCGCTTTCCTCCTGTAGGTAACAGTTGGCCAAAAATGGGCGATCCTTACAGGACCTCTAGGGCAAACAATTAAAACTGATACAGTTATCGAGTATAAACAAAGCTAGTTTTGTTTTGGTTTCTTCCTGTAGTAACACTATATAGACAAATATGGAAGTATATGAATGAGTCTTACAGGACCTCAAGGAAGAACAATTAAAGCTGATGCAGTTATCGAGTATAAACAAAGCTAGTTTTGTTTTGGTTTCTTCCTGTAGTAAAGGCTGCTCTCCAGTCACGCGTTTTTCATACGTGCGTATACGCACGGAAAAAGTTTCATTTATTAGCTAATCCCAGCAGCCTTTCGCGCTCGTATCCGACTTTTCCGCTTTGCTCGGGGGACAACCTTAGTTGAAATAGCTGTACGCACGTATGTCGTGTGGAAAACGCGTGACTGGAGAGCAGCCTTAACACTATATAGACAAATATGGAAGTATATGAATGAGTCTTACACAATTCCTGGCAAAAATTATGTGGTCACCTAACTTTTCCAACGCCATTATTAACATTGAGACGTTCTTTCATGAAATTTGTCGCCCCTTTCCTCCTATTCAATGTTGTTTCTCGCATTTAAATTTTACTGAAGGTTTCATTTACCAACATTGAATTGGGGGTAGGGGGGGGGGAGAAATTTTCTGGATGATTAATTCTGTAAAAATACATCTATTTTTGTTTGACGCACGCGGTGTCCACGATAATTTTTGATTGTAATTTTGTTTAGGTTTCTTCCTGCATGTAGTTGCTATAACACTGCATGTACAAATATGGAAATAAGGAATAAGTCTTACTGAACCTTAAGGAAGAACAATTTAAAACTGATACAGCTATCCAGTATAAATAAAGTTTATTAATTTTAGTTCTTGTTAACTATCCGGTCATAGCGAGTATACTTCTTTGGGAGGGAAATATCTCAGATAAACTAAATGCTCTTGTCCTCCTCCTCAATTTCAAAGTACATACATTCAATTTTAGTCTTGCGCAACAGTACACACGTAAAAACGCACAACTGATTGTAACAAACCTGCAGCAGACTTGTGACAATGCTGTCCAACACCTTGTCAACAGGATCAGTGTTCGCACTGCTTGTTTCCAGCTTGTTGACAACTTGCTACAAGGTCGTTGAATTCAACAGACTTGTTACAAGTTGTTCCAACAACTTGTTATCGTTTTGCTAGTCAACATTTTGTCAACAAGTTGCGAGTGACAAACTTGCAGCAACTTAATAAAATAACAGCATTGTTACAACTTGATGACAAACTTGCTACAAGCCTGTTGCGAACACATCTTGTTGAGAAGTTGTGAGATTTTCGCGTGTGTGCCACGCATATCGATATGCCGCTATTCATTGCGTTTCCCGATTTGAAAAATGCGGGATAAATAAAAGGCAATAACAATTAACAAAGCCCGTTAAAGCCCTTCCAACTGTGGAGGAAAGATTATATCGCCAGAAGCTATACTTCCCACGAAACTTAGAAAACCGAATCCGATTAATTAAAACCATTATAACTAATGAAAGCCAACGGAATTCTTTCAAAGAGTATGCATACCTCGGCTCACTCCTGCTGTGAGGGTGTGTTAGAAAATTATATGTTTTTGAGATAAGCGTGTGAGCCATTTTGTCAAATTAACTCGATATGACATCAAAAAATTTCTATTATTCTTATTGAATATATGATGAGGACGAATAGTATGAATTTATAAAAGTCTTTGGGTCATAATCGTGCCGCCGACAACGAGATTTAATCCTGTTAAGACCCTGTTAATGCAGGGGTTTTTTTTCCTTACAACACTCACCAAAATATTTGCAAAACCTGACGGAAAGTACAACATGAGTTTATTTTTGTTACATGTCTGCGAACAAGTTGTTACAAATCTGTTCACAAGCTGTCGACAAGTTGTGTTCGCACTGCTTGTTCCCAGTTGTTGTAACAAGTTTGGAACAAGCTGTTGCCAACTTCTAACAAGCTTGATCGCATTATCAGACTTGTTACAAGGTTGTTTAACAAGTCTGACACAGTCATGATATAACAAGAATGTTACAAGGTTGACGACACAAGGTTGTAATAATATTGTTATATCATGACTGCATTGGACTTGTTGGAACAACCTTGCAACAAGTCTGATAATAATATCAACAAGGTTGTTACAAGTTGTTAACAGCTTGTTCCAAACTTGTTGACAACTTGTGGGAACACAACTTGTTGACGGCTTGTTGGCAGACTTGCTACAAGATGTGAGATTTTTACGAGTGTATACACACGTAAAAATGTCACAACTTGTCAAGAAGATGTGTTCGCAACAGGCTTGTGGCAAGCTTGTCAACAAGTTGTAACAATGTTGTTATTTTATCAAGTTGCAACAAGGTTGTCACTCACAAAATTGACACATTGTTGAACAGTTCCAGGATCGACGATAACAAGTTGTTGGAACAAGTCGTTGTTACGACTCTGCTGAGCTCAACAACCTTGTAGCAAGTTGTCAACAAACTGTTGACAATTTGTCAACGAGATTGGAACAAGCAGTGCGAACACATCCTGTTGGTTAGTTGTTGGAACAGCATTGCTACAAGTGTGCTACATGTTTGTTACAACTTGTGCGTTTTTAGGTGTGTGGGTTTAGACAAATTTAGACCTGTTTCAGATTTCGTGATATTTCACAATTTCATGTCGCGTCACCAATAGACGTCACAATTAGTACACCCACTTGAACATCCCATATAGTCAAATCTCAAATTTTATGAAACTTGCAGAGCATTTCCTGGTAAAACGTGTTGCTACCCACGTTTCATCTCTTTTCGCTTTCGGTTGTTCAGGGAAAAGCCAGAGCAGGAATAACCCGTGATTATTTTGCAGAAACAATGTTTCCAACTTTCAGATTATGCTGGATTGTGATGAAATGAAACACTCACGATGATTCTGCAATATCAGTCTCTACGAACCTACTAGAACTAGATTATATTAAATATTTTATAGCCCCAATTTCCGTTTGTAAAGCCGAACAGGAAACAGAGACACGCTTACTCAGCTATTATTAATATATAATATATAAATTTCAATGCGATTAAATTTTCTAAAACGTGGCATAAATTTTCTAAAATTAGGTCGTGACACATTCATTATTTCAAAAAGAAACATCTCGCCTCTGAAATATTGTTTCTCATCGTAGTTTTTAATGACAATTAAATTACAGTAATATAAATATTCATGTCATTCATTGTTCACTGGTTAAAAATGAAGACTTGAGTCTTGATGCTGTTTTTATTTGAGATTTTGGGTTGCTATGAGATTAAGTTGTAGGCTTGTATTGCAAAAATCTCACAACTTTTTAATTGTCGTCAACAAGATGTGTTCGCAACCGGCTTGTAGCAAGCTTGGCAACAATTAAGTTGTAACAATGCTGTTATTTTGTCAAGTTGCTACAAGGTTGTCACTCACAACTTGTTGACAAATTGATGAATTGCAGGACGAAAACAAGTTGTTGGAACAAGTCGTAACAAGTCTGCTGAGGTCAACAACCTTGTGGCCAGCTGCCAACAAGCTGGGAACAACTAGTGCGAACATATCCTGTTGGCAACTTGTTGGAAGTCTGCCGCTACAGGTTTGTTACAACTCGTGCGTTTTTACGCGTGAAGCCTCGACTCATGGTGACGAGTAGTAAGCCAATTTTACTTGTATAGGTTAATTTACCTGTAAAACTGGTGAAATATTTTATATTATATTGTGAGTTATTCAGTTTGACGAGGGTTGGTGAGAGTTTTCGCTATCGCGCGGTAATATTAATTATCCAGACAACTCTCCGATCAAACACTCATTTAAAGCTCACTGTAAACTCAATGAGTGGAGGTTCAATCTGAGCTTCCCTTGAGTGTCAATGCTGTTTTTGAATAGCTGGAGGGTCAGAGCCGTACCATACTATATGTGACTACTCACCCTCCAGCTATTCAAAAACGGCATTGACACTCAAGAGTCAAGGGAAGCTCAGATTGAACCTCCACTCATTGAGTGTGAGTGTCTGAGACTCTGAGTGAGCTTTTAAAATACAGGCGTTAGTCTCTTGTTCTCGATCCGAAGAATGAAACTTTAGAAAACTACTCTCATGCAAACTCTCGCTGGCCAACTCCTATTAACGCTCATTCTCATTTGACCGAGACTTACAGTAACATATTTACTATATGTGACAACGGACCAGTTTTAATTAAATATCGAACGGCGCCATCTCCTTCTATTCTTCCGGCATCCTAGCTGCCGAACCTACACATGCAACGACCTGAAAAATATAAGCAAAATAATAGTGGCAAAACTGTTTTGCCAAAACATCGAAATTCTGCATATATATTTTCAGATATAGTTGCATTTATACCTATCAATCCTGTGAAAACCTTTCGACCTTTGGAATACCGAGATTTCAAACGATTTATTTGAATACCAAGTATCGGTAATTCCGCATTCCAAAGAACAGTTTTCGCGTGTTGGTAACAAATTATAAATGTCAAAATGACATTTTAAAACGTGATTAAAATTCTTATAATAAGAGAAATCTGCTGTATTTTTCGCGTAAAATTTTCGGTGGGATAAAAGTTCGTGTTTAAATTCGGATGTTTATATATTTGCTGTTTGTATAGACGTCAAAACATGTTCAATTCCTGTCTTAAATTTATTTTTAATAATTTAGACAAACATTCCAGATTTCGTTCGATCACCTTTGAGTTATAGCACCTGTTGAGGTCAAGACAAGTTGGTCTCGCTTTAAAAGTTTTGTTTTACAAAACTGCTGCGTTTTGCTTTGTCCTGGCACTTGTGGTAAAACGCATGGCTCAGCCCATGCAGCGAGAGTACTTGTTGCTCATTGTCGTGGAAAAAGGCAAAAGAATGCACGATTATCGTTTTCATAGAGACCCGTCATTCAATAATCTAAAGAATGCCATACGGCGACGCTCACTGACCCACACTAGACGCCGAGAATCAGCATCTGGGAGAGTATACATCCGCGTACAATATCAAGCTCACTTAAAATTAATTTTGCCTCACTATAATGCCAAATCCTTTACAGTTAGCTAACTCTGACGTTATTTAATTCCATAAGTTATTGTTTTATAAATTTTCTACATTTTTGAGCTATTATAATGCAAAAATTAAATTCCTTATTACTGATGAGAAATTAAATTCCTCCCACTTCTTCTTGTTAGGCGCGCGTGCGCAGTGCGTTCGTTGACATTCCAATTGGTTTTATCAAATAACGTAGAAGTTCGAGTACGCAGTTGTCTGTTTTGAAATAATTTTTATGGTAAAAAGACGTGTTTTGTTCAAGAAAACTACTGGGTAATACTCTTATACGTTTACTAGTGATAGTAGGCGTGTTATTCCTACTTTTGCGATGTCTAAAAAGGGCACATTAGGCCGCAAAGGCAAGCATTGGTCGCAGCGAGTAAGGGAAATTGTCGTAGTGAAATCGGCTAATGGTAGCTTCAATGTTTGTATCGAGGGAGGCGCCGAAAATGGCGAATTTGCACGAATTGGTAGCTTTAAACAAGACAAAGTCAAGTACAAACAAGGCAAGCTACATGTGAACGATGTTATACTGGAAGTAAGCGACGTGGCTATCGCTGGATATACCCTCCCGGACGTTGTGAGTTTGATAAAAAAGACGGGCGATGTTCTCAAAATGCAAGTCGTCAAACCAGGTAAATACTCGTTTACACGTTCAATGAATTGTCATGTTGTTGAGAAGACATTAAATTCTTTACGATTCGAGCTCATAGTTGTTCTTAAAAGCGGTATTATCGTGGAAAATTCGGCGAAGAATAGTCCACATCGCCTATTTGTTTACGAGTGCTTTAACTTGCCAGAACACTGTTTCGCCAATATTTTAACGACGCTATATAAAAGCCTGTATTTTGGCAATCTTTATCAATATAATCCAAATTTGTGAATGGCTTTTATTTATACCCTAAGGCTAACATAACTGACAAGTTTTCAAGTCTTTTAGACGCCTATATTTCGCGTAAACGTGACACAATATTCACCCCACGGCTACCAAAAACATACCGAATACCTAGGCGTAATTAGTTACATTCGGCAGAATAACTTGTGGATTTCACAAACCGTAAACACGGGTTAACCGAACGCAAACACTCATTTTTTAGGGTATGGAATCAGTGGGGACCTAAAAGAGTATTTAGCTGGACGTTTTGAAGAAGATGATGTCGACTCTGAGCTACAAAAAACCATACGAGACAACCTCTACGAACGAACCGTTCCATGTAAGTTTTTGAATTTAAATTCCTGGTCTATTTGTTAGACTACAATACATAATAGACCAACGGTGTTTTGTTAATAAATTTAGACAAATTAGCTTAAATTTAAACCAGGAAAAGCTGTGGTACGCGAGAAATTTCGGAGTTCTATTCATAGTTCCTCGTTTTGTCTGTATCTAGTTGTATTTTTAGAGGTTTTTATTGTTTATTTTGAGCAAACTGCGGTTTTGATTGTAATGTCAGTGGAAGTGAAGTATGCAAATTTTCTCTTGGGTGGCAACTGGCAGTTTAAATTTATATTTCCCTAACGCTTGCTGAGAATGAATTTTGACACCATTTTAATTAATAGCTTGTACAGTAAATTTACAAGTGCTAATGCATTTTGTACATGTCGTAAGCTCACACTACAAAATACTGTTTGGGGTATTTCTGTTGATAAATTCAGGTAACTGATAGTTAGGGTTAATTTTTGGTTTAATTTCCACTACCAGCCGATAATTTGAAAAATGATAGAATAAAACGTGTTCCGAAAATATGCATCTTGAAAATCAAAGATGTGGTCAAAATCAGAACGAAGACATGAAAATCAAAAATATGGTCAAAATCAAGACAAATTGTATAAAGGCCCATTTACATGACTAGTTGTATACGATTGTCATTCTGGCGTATGAAAACGACTGCTGACGTCACTATTCCTCTTTGTCAGTTTATGGTGAAATTTGAAATGTGACATCCTTCACATGTGTTTATTTGAAAACATATGCCAGGATAAGAATTGTATATGACTAGTCATATTGTGTAGATGGGTCTTAATGGTACATGAATATAATGTAGTGTAATGGTATATAAATTCTATAATTGTACCATTGTACATTATGTTTTGATTTCGATCCATTTTGTATATTTGCTATGAAACACAAGACTTAGTGTTTCTAAATTTGAGAAGAATTCACATTGACCACCATCTGCTTGGAGGATATAATAAAGCCTACTAAATCCTACCTATTGTGCAAACAAATTAATATTATATCACTATATCAACACTTTACACCATTTATGACCTATACTTGATTCTGATAGGCCTGAATCTAGTCAAAAGTGTCTGCGGAATGTAGCTCATTGACCTCTTTTGTAGTTTATGTCTGGATCACAAAAGAATGGCCCATGGAATTGAGTTTTAATTCAATGGTGTTACCATTAGTATATAAATTGAAGCAATTACTTTCTAAGAGTTGTAGGTTACATTGTTTTTGCATAATGGTATGTTTTATGTTTTGCAACCAATGCCTTGTTTTATAATGACTTGATCTCTCCAAGATAAGATCTTTATGCCAGATTAACCTAAGTAAAGTGCCTAGAACTATTATAAGGAGTGTAGATTTATAATAGCCTCCTCTGTAGGCAACTCTTTGGCAAACATTGGCAAAGGTATTATGAATAACAGTAAATTTAAAGGTAACTAGGTAACCCTATAATCTTCACTAGGTAACCTTATAATATTCACATTTTTGCCAATTTTTTTATTCATAATACTTTTGCCAATTTTTTTCCCAAAGAGTTGCCTGTGGAGGAGGCTAGATTTATAATATCGTGTTTCCTATTTTCAATTCTACAATCTGGCTGATCTGATTGGGAGGGGGTGGGGTGGGTGCTGGAATTAGTGATTGACCTATTGTGCAACAATCCGAAATTACCGATTATTCATGCAACAATCTACCCAGTACCGATGGCGATTTTATAATGACATCATAATATCCAATTTTTTAACAATAATTTCCAACGTAACATGTTACTGCAACTAGTTAAGGATTGTTAAAACCGTTAATAAATGGCACGCTTCACGCATTAATTTAACATATTGCATTAGTACGCAACATGTAATGTGCAATGCGTATAGTTTTTAACCCATTGAGCCTCAATGTGCTCCAGTGCACCCTACTTATTTTTTTTTACTTGTCTAATGCCAGACGGTTTTACTCGTCAATGGGGAAGCTCTGTGCAGCTTAATTGGGTTAAAGTGCTTATTTTCTCAACAATTGGTTTTAGACAATAGGAAATACAGATAATTCTACCAATTCCGATTGTCTACTGATAGGGCAAAAATCAGCCTGATACCGATTATCGATCAATCACTAGCTGGAATGCCCTGACTGGAAATTTTGAAAATTGAAAGATTTATTAGTCAATTTATAGAAAACATCAAAAGTTTATGCCCAAGATATGAATTGCATGATACTAACAGTCAGGAGGGGGGAGGGCTGATAGAATATTGGTCATGGGGAAAGGCTTCTGCCAGTGCTGATGAACTAATATTACTGCTGGTAGGGGAGTGAGGATATTAGCCCTGATCTTGCCAAAATGGTCGAAGAGACCAGTATAACTAAGCCTGAAATTTATTCAAAATCTTTTCATTAGGCACAACCCGAGCACCTCGTGGAGATGAGAAGCCTGGTATCGACTACATATTTGTCTCTGTTGAAGAATTCAAAGAAATGGAAAGAAAAGGAGAACTTCTCGAAAGTGGAATTTTTGGAGACAATTATTATGGCACACCGAAACCACCAAAAGACCCAAGCAAATTAAAAATTCCACAACCTAATAATAACCATGATGACAGAGGGTCAGATACCTCATCACTGCGACGTGAACAGTCTTACACTAACAGCAACAATGCCAATACTAATATGGGACGCCTCAAGCAGCAAAGTGAAATGTCAAAGTCGTATCATGCTGCATTACATATTGGCCACATGGATAGTCTCGGAACATTGATGGATAACTGGGAAATTGCATATACAGAGGATAATGAGAAGTATTTTATTGAGTAAGTTAAAAGAGGCAAATCCCTTGCTCATATGCAAATGAATGTAGGGTGAACACCCTTCATCATTGCCTTTGTTAAAAGGGTTGTACACCCCACCTTCCAAAATTGATTCATTTAGAAACCCTTAGACCTTTTGTTTGAATTATTTAAACCCTTATTGTCTGTGCCAATGTAGGTAGTGCCAATTACCTGATGTAAGGCGTAAAAAAAATACCTGTGGTTCCGGTTTCATATCGCGAAAAAAATTAGGGTCGGTAGGTCGGAAATAATTAGTGTGACAACAGATGCCATTTTGGCAGCAGCCCGCAACCACCCGGAGAAAATAGGGTCACATTGTCAATCGCGTTGAAAAAATAATAGGGTCGGCAGAAAAAAATAGGGTCGGTCGGGAACCGGAACCACAGGTATTTTTTTTTATGCCCTAAGGCCTTTGCAGTCTGTTAGCATAATTAACTCATTAAGTTGCATTGTTCCACAATATGCCCTACTAAAGTATTTATTTATTTAGTATTTTAAGCTCTGTCTAATGCCAGACGATTCTAGGCACTCATTGGGTTAAGTTGTGGCCAACATAATCAATTTGTGGCAACAAAAACAAGCCCCAAGTTTTGCGACGTACCTGTATCTCCTCTGTCCTGTTCATACAGTAGTTTTAAAACCAAGCTGTATTGTGCCCCAGTATGCACCCTCTTTAATTATTCAACTCTCAGATGGAGTCTAAATGGGTTAAATTATTTTTCATTGTTTCACAGTCATAGCACTGGCACAACACAATGGCATGATCCAAGACTCGCGGACAAGCAGAAGAATGACCCTAATGAATGCGACGAGGATGGTGAGTGGTGTTATTGTTTTGGAGGGCGGAACTTAGGTTAATTGGAGGGAGTTATTTGAGAATTGAAAGTCTGGCCTCTCACTATCAATATGTACTAATAAACTGTGAAGTGTTTTTCTTTGAGTGCCAGAGGGGATGCACAATGTCATAAGGGATGCCTTTTGGTATGCTATCAGTACCTTAGCTACTAATTATGATACTACTATAAGTGATGTTTTTGAGTAGGTCTCTTTTCATACCCAAAATAACAATCTTTATTGCTGTGTTTTTATACAAAATTAATGATCTAAATTAACCCCCTACTGTTTTGGACTTATGCACATCATGCTGAGTATGTCAAAGGTTTTGGGAATGTATATTTCTAGAATGTTATAATTATAGACTTGGATAATGCAGTAATGCTATCATTATCTTTTTGGATTTTTTGGCAATTGAATTATAGTCAGTCTGTTATATTTGGGTATTACATGTCTGATATTAGGTTGGAAATGAATGGTCTGATATGTCTTATTGCTTCTTGTGGTTTAAATTCAAGTGTTTACCATGCCAAATATACATGTAAATTAAAGAAATTCTTTATTGTTGCATATTGCGTGAATGTTTTTCAACATTAAAGTCTCCTCTCAAAGTGATATTAGTTTGTTTTGTTGTTGTACGTGTTCAGAGATAGTACGTTTGTAGATCTTTGAAACATTTTGTTTATTTGTTTCAACTTCAGAGTTGCCATACGGTTGGGAGAAAGTTGAGGACCCAAAATTTGGCACATATTATATTGAGTAAGTTTGATTTGTATTATTAATCTTGTTTTTAACACATTCTGCATTATATTAGCTAGGCATTTTGTAGTATCAATTGATAGTTGAGAAATGTCTACTAGATGCACAAAAGTACTTGCAATTAACAAGGGGGAAACTGTAGTACCTCGGGCATACCTGTGGGACTTGGTAGAATCAACCTAGAAGCACTCTATGTGCAGTTAATGTATTTTATCTTGTAATGAGAAAACTACATAATCAGGGATGAAAGTCTCCGTGCCACTTTACACTCCAAATTCAGCAATGTTACATGAAATGGCGACAATGGACCTATTCCCTAATGAATAAAATTTTGATCTAGACAAGTCTAGACAAACATTTCATCACAGTTTGAAAGAGCATCACAAAATTAGTAATATTCCGAAGTTTCGTTGAGAAATGTTGTAAAATGCGGATAATATAGCCCTGCGAAGTTTGCCGTTTTTCAGTTATTTTGTATTACGCATGGGAAATTGATACCTTTTTCAGAAAGTGGTATCAATTTGCAGTGCGTAATACAAAATAACTGAAAAATGGCAAATTTTGCAGGGCTATATTATCCGCATTTTACAACATTTAGCAACGAAACTTCGGAATATTACTAATTTTGTGATGCTCTTTCAAGCTGTGATGAAATTTTTGTCTAGACTTGTTTAGATCAAAATTTTGTTCATCAGGGAATAGGTCCATTGTGAAAATAGTAGTTATATAATTAAACTTGAGCAGTCTCTGCAAGCGTCGGTAGTGACAAGAACACCAGAAACTGTGGATGGATAGTGTCGGGAAGTTAGTAGTGGCTATTAACTTCCTGACAGAGGGCCTTTGCTCGAAACGTTGATGTTTTACTTGTATTTTTCAGATAGTTGAATCCCTAGTGCTCATCCGCAGTTATGTAATTAGCCTTTCTCATGAACGCCATTTTTGGGTACTTTTTTTGGAAACAATGTGAAGGATCTAAGCGATGTGAGAACATTTGTTGAAATACTTAACTGTAAATTAACTTATGATGATTATACTCACAATTATAGTTATACAAATCCATTATTAATTGTGTACAATCTCAGAATTAGAAAAGGCTACTAGTGCCCCAAAAATGGTGGCGTGGGAAAGGCTATTAACCTCTGGTTTGTCACATGATGTTAAAACATACCCGATATATACAGCCATATGAGACTGTTGCATATTGATACACCAATCAAGTTTGTCATATTTTAATTGTGTGTGCCACTTAAACCAATATAATAATATATAATTATTCAAGCTCAAAATTATCACAAGAACAAATTCCAAAATTTATTTATTGTAACTGTATTTCCAAGGATATGAAGAACTGGTCTTTGAATTATATTACTTAGACAAAGAATGTTTTGGGGTTATTCAAGTAAAGAGTGTGACCTAGTTTCATAGTGGTTTAGTTATAATGATAATATTTATTCAGGAAGCTCCACTCAAGTGTTTTTCAGGGAGGTCCTGTAGTTTTTCTGCCTTTTGCCTATATATTACTGGAATTTTTTGTTCATGTGATATGAAGTTGTTTAAATGTAGTTTTGCGTCGGTCACATGTGAGAAAAGTGCTTTGTGAATTTGACTGTACCAAACACTGCATATTTGCTTATGGTACTGACATTTCTGTGGTAACGCTGGACCATTGATGGCCCTTATTACAATTTAGAAGTGATAGAGTTATCCAATATAAATTAATTTACTTCAGCTTGACTTTTCCACTGTACATAGTGGGACTTAATCAATGAGAATTGGCCGTTACTGGACCTCTAGAGAGAAAAGTTTAGAACTGGAAAGCTATACAGTATAAATAAAGTTAGTTTAGTAGAGGTTGTCTAGTTTACAGAAAAAATCCCGAAACTTTGGTGCCATGCCATAAATCAATTGAAGCCAATATTATGTGTCCTTCATCTGTAGTCACGTAAATCGTACAACGCAATTTGAAAACCCAGTATCAGCAAGCAAACGAGGCAATGAAAAAGGTAGTGCAATGAATGAGTCACCTTCACGTCAAGGACCACCATCGATGACATCCGCAGCTGCATTGGCAAAGAAACAAGAAGCCGAAGCTGCTGCTAGGTACTAACTTTATTCAGAATTGTAGATTATGTAGCAATTAGCACTTGCTCAGTGATTTATGATTTAATTTAACCCGTTGAGCGGGCAATGTGCCCAGATGCACCCTACTTTATTATTTTAGTCTGTCTAACACCAGATGATTTTACTTGTCAGGGGGAGGGTGCTGACACTCAATGGGTTAAACAGACTATCTGCCCATCCACCATGTTAACCCTTTAAGTGGCAATGTGCCCTACTTTATTATTTTACTCTGTCTAACGCCAGGCGATTTTACTCGTCAGGGGGAGAGTGCTGCCACTCAATGGATTAATACATAAAGCATGAACGGCCATGCTGTATAAGATAAACAAACACAGGCCAGGCACAGATTTTCTGGGGGGTGTGGGGGGTGTGTGCACCCCCCAGAAATGATTTGCACCCCCAGAGGCATTTGGCACTGCCCCCAAAAGTTTTTGCACAACCACAAATTATATACATTTTGATTTGATAGTTTCATATTTGATTACTCTTACTACTAAATTGGTAAAATTACCAATATTATGGTCTCAGATCTTGCCATGCAGGCCTAGAAAACAAATTTTGTTAAACTTTTTCCTTGGCCTTTCTGGGCGTTGCCAACAGGCCCTGGCCAAAGCAAGCAGCAGCACACCCCCCGAACGAAAATATGAAAATCCGTTTCTGACACAGGCCAAAATTAGCTTGTGATTCGTCCTGATGACAATGTTTTAGTAACGAACAATTTTATGAACATAAATTGTATTTGGTTATTCATCTCAGAAGTGGCTGATCTATTCTCCAATGTTTCTTTCGCAGATGGCCTACTGCAGGTTTCGGGATGCAAGGCTACCCGCCGCCATCATCAGGTTATGACTATAACGGTTACAACCAGAACAGTGTGAAGGAGGAACGTATTACAACCGTATTACAGAAAGGTTTGAGAGGGTTTGGTTTTACCATTGTTGGCGGTGACCACCCTGAGGAAATGCTACAGGTGAAGAGTATTGTGCCAGGAGGACCAGCCAGTGTGGATGGTAAAATAAGGATTGGTGATTCATTGACTAAAGTTAATGGTATGTTATAGTTTATACTTATTATTAAAGTGCATGAATTGCAACTACCTGAAAAATACACACGAACATTGACATTTCATGTGAAGGCCCTTATAACATGTCTTGTTGATTTTTGAAACTGCACAAGATGCTTCTGTTTGAAGTATCTTTGTATTATATGAGGGTCTTAATGGGGGTCTTTGGGTGTCAGTTGTCAGCTAAAATTTAAGCCAGTTGTCAGTTGTCAGTGCGATATATTGCAAGCTGTCAGTAGTCAGTTACTGCAAAATGCTGACTCATCACTTTTTCATCATTTCTCAGTTGTCAGTTAGGATATTTTGTCAGTTGTCAGTCAAAAATTCAGGCAAATGTCAGTAGTCAGTTAACCCCATTCAGACCCTCTTATATCAGAGCCTGAAATAATGGTCCAAGATTTTCCAACTAAATTACACTTTATCTGACCAAATGCTAAATTGGTAGGACATTTTGTCTGGACACAACCAAATAATCAGTGTTTTTCAAAGAATGGTTATGCATTAACAATAAGCTCCAATCATCCCACAAAGAATTCAAAATTGTTTAGTTTAAAAGCATTTTAACTACCTTTATACTGCCTAGCCTAGTGTGAAGTATTTTTATTGATGTGATTTACTCAACAAAGATGTTCAAAATGTTTGAAATGGGGAAAATGTCCGACCAAATTCGAAACATTTCTATCAAATTTTATTTTGGGCAGACTTTTTTCGGGCAATATTTGAATGTTATTTTATGATTGGTTAAGCCTGGTTTCCATATTGTCATCACGGTTGTAAAGATTGAGTCACAATCTTTCTCATCAGCCGAAATACAACAGTTTAGAGTTGAAAATATGCAGAGTGATTATAACTAGAGAATACTTAATATGATTTATATGCAGTTTACAGGTATAAACTATTATAAGAGGAAGATCATGACTCTATTTTTATGTTTTGTGTTCAATATATTCTATATCTATTCTATGACCATTATGATATATTCTAATATATCTATTTTATGACCATTACGACCATATGGAAATCAGGCTTAATATGCATTCCTTCTCTCTAGGTATGTCTGTGGTTGGTCACAGTCACAGATACGTTGTGAGCATGTTCCAGTCAATGTCCCAAGGTGATGAAGTCGAGTTAGATCTAATTCGTGGCTACCCTCTACCATTTGACCCAGATGACCCCAACATCCACAGTGTTGGTTCCTATACTGTAGTACCACCCTACCATGATGACCTGGAATCACCACCACCATTTGATACTGGTGATGGTTATAGGAATGGCGATTTTGCAAACGGTCACTATAAGGACACCCTGCAGATGAATAAATATCATAAGTCTAATACCATAACTGCAAGTGGGAATTCAGCATTCAATGAGCCTGACCGTGATATAGCTGGTCGTGGGAACAGACCGAACAGTGGTAAGTTTAAAGATTTTTAGACTAAGAAATTGCATCAGTTTTATGTGAGTGCAAATATACAGTACGTTGTACACTGTTCGTGCTCAAGTGTCTTCATGATGAGTAAAATAGTGTGATGCAACATAGTTAAATTATGTAAAAGATATGATTACATGCATCATGGTGCCAGCCTATGTCTTTGTTTACATTTTTGATAACTTGCCAGTGAAAATATCTGTGCAAATATTTGTTGTAGCACTTCGTAATATTGGTTTTAATGTTGAAGAATGGAAATGTGGAAATGTTCCCAGTGGAAATGTTCCCAGTGGAAATGTTCCCAGTGGAAATGTTCCCAGCTTCACTTCGCTCGAGACAAAAGACACAGGTTTTGCAACAAAATGCAAAAATCTATTCGCTTGTATTCAGTATTTTAGCATGTGCTTGGCAGCTGCAGAAAAAGTCTTATGGCCGATTATTTGCCCATTATCAAGCAATAATCGGCTGATTATTTACTGATTAATCGGCTCATCCCCACTCTCATGCAACTTTGTTCTTGTTTGACAGAGGCATTCATGTTATGACAACTCTCATGCAAACTCTAGCTTGCTTGCTTGTCAACTCTTATTTATTCTCATCCTTGTTTGACCAGGATTTTAATCTCTCTTCTAGAAGTTTACAATGACCAAGTAGACAGGCCACAGTTCCATTCCTCAACTCTCCCAAGGACTTCCACACAGCGCACGGTCAAAGCAGAACCGCCTAGAGTTCCTGTGGAAACTCTGAATGTCGTTGTCATCAAAGGTTCCAATGGCTTCGGCTTCACGATTGCCGATAGTAACCAAGGGCAACGGATTAAGCAAATCATGGATGCTAGCCGATGTCAGGATCTCAAAGAAGGGGATTTGTTGATTGAGATAAATGGTTTTAATGTACAGAGATATTCTCATAATGAAGTGGTGAATATGTTGAAGTCATGTCCTAGAGATACTGAAGCCGAGATCATTGTCCAGAGAGGAGGTAAGTGAAGGGTGCAACTTTATGCTGGAAGCCCCATTGCAATTTAATATATCAAAAAAGCCCATATACTAAAAATTAAAGGATACAATGTAGAAATTATTTACAAGATTGTATCTAGCTTCAATAAGTTTAAAGGGTGCCAGTAATATCACCAGTAATATCACCTCCAGGGTTGTGGATCAGATCCTCCATGAAGGAACGCACTTATCAGAATAAAATGATCCAGATAGTATTGCTTGTTTGAATCGCAAATTAAATCTCTCTTTTTTTAGTACCAATGGAACCCAGTCCTATTGCTCCTAGAAGACCTATGGTAGGTATCTTAAGTTATGTAGCATAAAGTAATATAACATAACTGTGTAAACATAATAATGCTCAACTTACAATGAGAGTGTATTTAGTATGTGTTTAGCAAACATCTTGTGAAAGTTGTGATAGGGAAGCATTCAAAGCCACATTCCATAAAAATACTTGTAGGTGGCGATTACTTTTGCATTTTTTTGTGCAATTACATGATAAATGACAATTATAAAATTTGGTGAGTTCATCTACTAAACAAGTATGCAAACACCAGATACCATGCAACTTGTGTTGCAAATCTTACCTACAACCAGATAAACCTGACCTGCGATGCATACCATTACACAGTCTGCATCGCAGGTTAGCCAGACCCAAAATATATGATTTAGTTTATTGTCTAATCCCATGAACGAAGGCTGACAAGATTTATTTTATTGTACAGGAGATCACAAAACAGCGAGCACCACGAGCACAATCCACTCCCCCATCAAGTCAGTACCAAACCAACGTGGCTGTTGCAACTGAAGGTGAACCGACAAGGAATTATGATACAGGATCACTTCAACGTCCTTCAAGGCAAGCAAAAGTCTCCACTGTCGTAGAATCATCAACTGTCAATACTTATCCTTCATTAAGACGAGCGGTTGCTACTTCACTAAAGTAAGTTGTGTAGTTATGTTTGCATATTTTATCATTAGTATTATGGGGAAATTTTGCTTTAAAGTTTATTGCTAAAATGTTTTGTTCAGAAATGTTCATTAGTGCAGCAGTTTAATTAGGAAAATTTAAAGAAACTAAAGAAAAACTTCATCTATACTGGATAGCTCCAACAATTCCAATCAGATTCATTCTTTATTGGTCTAGGATGAAACCAAAACTTATTTATTTGTACCAAACTGTTTTCCCTGGATGTTCTGTAAGGATCATCCCTAAATGGGCCAGTTTAACTGCTGGAATTAACCGAAGACCCTGACAAAATCTGTGATGTTTGACCGAGTCAAACTGGAAGCACTCTTCTCATATATGCAACTGAGGTGAAATTATCATCAGACGACTGCAAAACCCAGAGTGCAACCAAGCCCAAGAGGTGAAAATTTTCACTTCTGAAGCTCAAGTTCTGTACCCCCATTATTCGCTTTGTATATAATTGTATATCCGATATAAACATAATTTTTATCTCCTTAGAGCGAATGGTGCAGAAACAGGCAGTATTGGCGGAGGATCTACAAGGACTGGGGACGACTATCTAGAGATGACATTATTGTTGAAACGTGGTGATGGTGGCTTTGGATTCCGTGTGGTAGGAGGGGACGAAGAGGGATCACAGGTACAGTAAATATTCTTATGCTCCTTGAATTACCAGTGGTGCTGAAAAAAAAGTGTGGTGACCATGCTGTTGTAAGCTTGGTAAATCCAGATGGTTGCAATAAAATGCTTTGTTGTTACAAACCCATAATACCATGTAGTAGAATCAACACATTTTATTACGGCATGTTTGCAAAAAAACAGAAAATTCTAAGCAAAGTTTTCAACCTGATCTCATGTAAACAACTACTGAAGATAACACTCTGATCGCAATGAAATTATCCTGCTCTGAATTCATCACAATTTCATTTAAACAACAACTAGAGACAAATCTTTGACTGAAATGAAATCGCCCCTCGCTGACTTTGTCCCAGTTCTTATGTCCAGGGACGCCGGAACTTGAGGGGGGGGGGGGGGGGGGGCAGGAGGGGAAGCTGTCCCTCTTGCCTTTTCAAAGAGCACTTCTGCCCCAAGGGGGGCAGAAGTGCCCTTTGAGTTATAAAATACTACCTGATAAATCACATTTCCAGTGATGCTTTTTGGGCAAACTCATGAGGTGTGATCTTGAATGTGACCTGATTATTAAAGTTCGTTTGCTTTCATATATTGGCAAGTCAACGCATAATTGTAGGTTTATTTCTTCACCGGAGTCTATAGAGGTGCCCTTTTGTGTGCGTCCCCCCCCCCTTGCCTTTTAATCGTTCCGGCGTCCCTGAGTACTAATCTTGAAAATTAAAGTTAACTATTTTGTTGTTGTAGATTGCAGTTGGTAAGATCGTTCCAAAGAGTGCTGCTCATAAAGATGGTCGGTTAAGACGAGGAGATGAAATTCTCACTATTGATGATGTCAGTGTCGTTGGCTCTACACATCGTCATGCCATCAGTCTCATGAGCTCAGCTGCTGCTAATAATAAAGTTAAACTGACAATAAGAAGATGGAACAATGGCAGCCGATCAGGAAGTAAGGGTTGATTCTTGTATGACCTTTCTTTATGCATGACCTTTCCAAGCCCAAGGTATTCAATACGGTAATTTAGTTGGACTGATGGCACTAAGAATCGATTGTTTGTATATGCAATTGTGCTTCTCTTTCTACGTGGTAGTCTTTTCAGAAACTTGTACTTTATGAACCTTATTTTAAAGACTAAGTACACATTGAGTACTGAGTTTGCACTGGCGCATGTACGCGCAACAACAATTGGCGTACCAGTCAGGTACGACTAAAATCATTATCGCGCCCTGGATGAGGAAAACCGTCTGGCGTTAGACAGAGTAAAATAATAAAGCGAGGGACATGTCACCAGGGTGCATTGCCACTTAAGAGGTTAATTAAAAGTAATATAATTATACAGTAGCACATGAAAACTGAAATTTCACTCGTGAGTTGGTTGAGGTTGAACTGTGTTTGTACATGTGTGTCTTTCACTTAGTGACTGGTTGGGATTCCTGCCATATGCAGTTCTCTTGTTATAATTTCACCTCAAGACAATCATACATCCTTTATTTTCCCCTAGGATCAACACCAGTGGGCTCATTACGTCGCAGTCTCTCCCAGGCCTCTCAGCTCTCGGACCTGTCCCAGACCTCTAGCAAATTCTCGCGATCAGCCGGGAACCTCGCAGGAGGGTACAATGGTGGACACATGAGGGGAGAACTGTCATCTGCTCGTAGTGCCCCCTCGATTCCCAAGCAGTACGGTGGGGAAAAACCTCGCTATTATGATGTGAGTCATTACCAGAGCGAAGGAGAGTTGGGCGGATATCAGAATGATACCAACATGGCAAACCAGAAGGACATATTGTTGCAACGAAATGAAGATGAAGGTTTTGGTTTTGTAATTTTGTCCACTAGTAACATGATTGGATCAACTGTTGGTGAGTTATTGTATATTCGACTTTTAAGTAAAATATGTGTGGTTAATACAAAATAACAGTAACTCCGAATAACATTTTGATTTTTAACAAACATTGTCAAACATTGTCATTTTTTAACATTTTTATTTATTTTTTTATTCTTATTTTTATTTTTTTATTATTTTTTTTTGATTAAAAATCAAAATGTTATTCGGAGTTACTGTTATTTTATATATGGTTATGTTGTTGTTAATGAGATTTTGCCATCCTGATCGAGAGAACTACTCTCATCAACGTATTCTCGAGTTTGACTACATTTTTTTCTGTCATGCAGGTCGAATCATTGATGGTAGTCCAGCTGATCGCTCCGGTCAGCTGCAGATTGGTGATCGACTTGTTGTTGTAAATGGACAAAGCATTGTGGGAATGCATCATAGTGATATTGTGGATATGATCAAGCAATCTGGAACTAGAGTTAACCTCAAGATTATACCAAGACCAGGTATGGAAACCTGAAGTGAACAGATTTCGTTTATTACGAAAGTCACCGAACTGTGGAATCGCATCAAAAATTCGTATATCGACCACTCCCACAAACGTCTACGACCGCGCCTACATATTTTTGCATGTTTACAATTCTAATTTTAACCAGCCAATCGACGTTTAATTGTAATTGTTACCAAGAACCTGATTCGCTGTTCAAAATTAGGATTGTAAACATGCAAAACTATGTAGGCGCGGTCGTAGACGTTTGTGGGAGTGGTCGATATACGAATTTTTTATGCGATTCCACAGTTCGGTGACTTTCGTAATATACTGACCTAGTTCAAACATCGTGTTTATCCCAAATTCGAATAAAGTTCGACCTTTGAACTCGATTCTTGCCAAACTTTGTCAAACTGAATGCGTATTAGGTTCGACATGTGCGATGTTTTCAACTTAATAGTACACGAGTCCTGTGGTTCCAGTTTCATATACTAAAAAATATAGGGTACAGTAGTGGAAAAGATTTAACATTTTATTCACTTGACATCGGTCAACAATGTGTCTGTGATCAGTTGGCATTGCCAGAAAACTTAAACATTTCGAGTCTAAGCAATAACAGTGCGCAACACATTGTATCACAAAGCAAGCAAATGAAGCAATGAAAAATAGGGTCAGTAGGTAAGCATTACAGCGCCAAGTATATCCAAAAAACAGAAACGAATTGATGAGAGACTGGAACTACACAATATTTTCTGTTAGGCCTCAGGAAGTGGAAATAACCCTGCAACTAGGTTTTCTTACATGAGATTTATACAGTATGGTTTTTAATTAGCACTTACGTTATTTCTTGCTCTTTTTAGATGAGGAACCTGCAATTCCAAAAGACCGTACAACCAGGAAGGTAAGCTAGATAAAAAATATTGCTTAAAACCCTAGGTATGAAGAATTTGCTTGTGAAACTGAGTGCTTTGCTAAAGTCAGCCAACCCTTTGTTTGGGTTAAGCTTAGACAGAGTGTCCACGGGTGAAAATCCTGGAAAGTTCTTGAATTGGAGACAAAAATCCCAGGACTGGAAAGTCCTTGAACGTCCTGGAATTAATTTCGTTAACCGCCAGCTGTGCCAACATTAGTGAATTAAAATTACTGAATAAAGTGAATTATTTTCAAAGATTTTCCCAGTTCTAGGTCCTTGAATTTCACCTTCACCAAAGGGTGGACACCGTGCTCAGAGCTGGGTCTACTCTACCATTTCCCCACTTTATTTTCCCCAAGAACGCCTGGTCACAGGTCGGACTGGATTCCTTTTGCTAATTGCTAGCCACAAGTAATCAGATGCCCACACAACAAGCATATCTTTCAATATTTCTCAAAGTTCTATCTTGTTTTACCAGAGTACGGGAGATGTATTTTCATACGAGATGCCAGATACGCGCCCGCGATATCGTAGTGAAAGCGCTGATATCCTGCGTGAACGAGAAACACAGAAGAGACGTGACGAGTTCAGATCTTTGACACAGGTTTGCCTTTGATCTTTTTAAGCATATTTGTTGAAAATCGCTTTAACAAAAAAAAGCTCAGAAGCACTTGGAGATGGTTTGGAATATTTTGAAGCAAAACTTGAATTTTTGGTCCCCCCCCCCTCCCCCATCCCTTACTACCATTTTCGAGCTTCCGTGAAGCGTGCATTTATAACTACGTTTCAAAACGTTTCTTCAGCATGAGTTTGTCAATCATAACTTTTTGTTTTGCAATAATAACTTTTGTGGGCGTGGTGTCAAGCACATTGTTCGGTGGGTCG